CCTAGAAGATAAATGCACGCTTCGGAAGTCACTGGAAAAAACTCTACCAAAGAGTATGGAGGAGCTCATGGCAAGAATAGAGAAATATGCCAGAGCAGAAAAGGATACACCGGGAATGAAGGCGCCGAAGCAGGAGAAGAAAAACAGCTCACCAAAGCGAGACCAAGGTAATACTGGTTTTAACAGGCAAGAAACAGGGCTGAGGGCTGCACATGCAGTCACCATTGTGTTCTGGATCCTAATTTATAAAGTTCTAGAAAGGATCAGAAACCAGTCGTATTATAGAGCACCGGAGAAGATTCCTAGTGAGTTCGTGGGAATGAGCCTTGGGAAGCACTACGCTTACCACAATGAGGATGGGCACCTGACTCAGGGGTGCAGAGCCCTGAAGACACATTTGAAAGATCTGGTCAAACAGGGTCACTTGAGGGACTTAGTAGATGAGGCCAGAACGAGGGAAGAGCATGCAAGGCTACCCCTGGCACTAGCGGCACCACCACTACCACAACCACAGTAAGCAAAACCTCAGGTGATCATCAATGTGATTCACTCGAAGGTTAATGAGAATGATATGAGAGGAGAGACCCAAAAGGTGAGGCTTTTACAGCATGTGTGTTAGGTCCAGCAAAAGAGGCCTAGGACAAATGAGTACCAGGGACCAATGGTGTCCTTTACTGAGGCGAACCAAGACATGGTGCAGCATCCACACAACTATGCTCTAGTAGTGACCCTCAAGATTGGAGAATGCCAAGTAAGGCACATTCTAATCGACCAAGGTAGCTGTTGTGACATTATGTATGTCAAATGTTACAAGAAGCTTGGCCTTCACCAAGATGATTTGGAGCAGTCAGATAGCCCAATGGTTAGGTTCAATGGAACGCCGACATGGCCCCTAGAAGAAATAAATTTGGATGTGCAGGCAAACACCAGGAAGGTAAGCACATAGTTTACAGTAATTGACACATTCTCCCCTTATAATGTTATCTTGGGAAGGCCATGGTTGCACACAATGAGGGTTATTCCATCAACACTGCACCAGCTGTTGCGGTTCTCAATGAAGCATGGAATTAAAGAGGTTAGAGGGGATTAGGTGCTGGAAAAAAAATTGCTCTATGGAAGCAATGAAATCCACCAGCACCGTGCGAGAGCCAAATATTGTAGAAATTGAAAACGAGGACATGGAGGTCCTGGATGACGTTCGTAAAGAGCCGGCCGACAAGAGTGGGGAAGCCTTGAAGAAGATTCTGGTAAAAGAAGATGAAAAAGAGCACTTCTTCTTTCTCGACTCAGGCTTAGCCGAGGAGGAGGAGAGGGAGTTGGAGACTTTCTTATAAGCAAAGATAAAAGAGTTTGCCTGGACGCCATACAAGATGCCTGCCATTGACCCCGAGGTCACCAGCCATAGGCTCAATGTAGATAAGTTGGCTAAACCTGTCATTTAGGGGGCAAGGAGGCTGACGTTGATTCATGTGGAGGCAGTAGAGGAGGAAGTGGACAAACTGTTGGAAGCCAAGGCTATTCAGGAGGTGAAATACCCAACTTGGCTATCCAACATAGTGGTTGTGAAAAAGAAGAACGGCAAGTGGAGGGTTTGTGTTGACTTCACCAGCCTGAATAAGGCTTGCCCCAAAGACAGCTTCCTTCTACCTAGAATCGATCAGCTGGTGGACGCTACTTTAGGGCATATAAGGATGAGCTTCTTGGATGCTTACAGGGGATACCATTAGATAGCAATGTATCCTCTTGATGAGGAGAAGACTGCATTTATCACCCCAAAAAGGCTATACTGCTACAGAGTGATGCATTTCAGGTTGAAAAATGCAGGAGCAACCTACCAAAGATTGGTGACCAAGATGCTTAGACATCTGATTGGTAAAACAGTTGAAGTGTGCATTGATGACATGGTCGTGAAGACCAAAGAACTTGGGAATCACCTGGCCGACTTGAAGGTAGTTTTTGATATCTGAGAACATATCGGTTCCGACTCAATGCTTCGAAATGTGCATTTGGAGTCGGGTCTGGTAAGTTCCTGGGATACTTGGTTTCCAGAAGGAGCATTGAGGCAAGCCCAGATCAAATCAAGGCCATTCTTGACTAAAAGAGCCCGACGTCAGCCAAGCAGTTCCAGATTTTGACCGACAAGGCGACAGCCTTGAATAGGTTTATCAGCCGAAGTTCTGATAAGTGTAAACTATTTTTAAGTTTGTTGAAGAAGGCCACAGATTTTTTGTGGGCTGAAGAATGTGAAGTCACCTTGGCCGACTTGAAAAAGTACCTGACAACAGCTCTAGTTCTGTCAAATCCAATACCTGGAAAAGAATTGCTCCTATACTTGGCAGTTTCAGAGCACATAGTGAGTGCAGTGGTAATCAGAGAAAAGAATGGAGAACAAAGGGTAGTGTACTATGTGAGTAAAACCCTAGCAAGTGCAAAGACGAGGTACTTACCCCTAGAGAAATTGACACTAGTCCTGGTGATGGCTTCGAAAAAACTGAATCACTACTTGCAACCCACAAGATTGTGGTACTGACTGAGCATCCTTTGAAGTCCCTGTTGCAACAAGGAGATCTAACAGGCAGGCTAGCCAAATGGGCAGTAGTGTTGGGCCAATATGACTTGGAGTTTAGGCCCCGAATAGCAATTAAAGGCCAGGTTCTGGCCAACTTTATGGCCGAGTTCACCCCTGGTGCCATCCCGCGTCGGACTCTGGTGAGCCACGGCTTAGGATGCCCAGCGGAGCAAAAAGAAACCCAACTGGGGCCCAAGAACCCTATTGTAGCAAAATAGAAGAAAAAAGAGAAACCAAAGCCCTGTGACATCTACATCGGCGACTCCTTCCGCCTGTTTATTGATGGAAGTTCAATCCGTCAAAGAGCAAGGGCAGGAGTAGTGTTAGTATCGCCAGATGGGCAAATGTTAGAGCAGTCTATTCGTTTGGGGTTCAAGGCCTCAAACAATAAAACAAACTATGAGGCACTGATTGCAGGGTTGAAGTTAGCAGTAGTGATGGAAGCTGATGAGGTGGTAGTTTTTGTGACTCCCAACTTATTGTGAATCAGGTAACAGATGAGTACGTAGCCCAAGATGAAAGAATGATAGCCTATGTCAAAGAAGTTGTTAGACTGCTAGCAATGTTCCAGGATTACCAGCTACAACAGGTTAGTCGAGATGATAACAGTTATGCTGATGCCTTGGCTAACCTGGCTAATGCAATGAAGTTAGGGGAGGCAAGGACAATAATGGTTGATTATTTGTCAGGCCCAAGTGTGGAACCACTAATCACAGAGTACGAAGCAATGCGTGTGGAGATGGGTCCAAGTTGGATGGATGCAATAGTGATGTTCCTTAGGGATAACAAGCTACCAGGCGATCGAAAAGAAGTACATAAGACCAGGTTGAAATCGGCTAGGTTCAGCCTAAAAGCAGATGACCATCTCTACAAGAGATCTTTTATTGGTCCTCTTTTGAGATGTGTGTATCCCTTCCAAGTTGAAGACTTCTTGTATGAAATACATAAAGGATTATGTGGAAGCCATGCTGGGGGTAGATCACTTGCTCATAGGGCCATTACTCAGGGGTACTAGTAGCCTTACATGTAGAAGGATACTAAATCCTACGTCAGAAAATGCGAGAAATGTCAAAGGTTTGCACCTTTGATACATAAACCAGCAATAGATTTGAACCCAGTATCCAGCCCTTGGCCATTTGCCCAGTGGGGAATGGATCTTGTTGGACAACTACCCCAAGCAACTGGGCAAATGAAGTTTCTGCTAGTAGCAACTAATTACTTCACGAAGTGGGTAGAAGTTGAACCCCTTGTGAAAATTCGAGATATTGATGTGAAGAACTTCATATGGAAGAACATCATCACCAGGTTTGGGATTTCTAAATCGACTCTCAATTGAACCTACCATAAAATTCTAAAAATTCTAACACACACATAATTCAAGTCAATTTCGCGATCGGATGCCAATAAGGTCTTTAATTCACAAAACAGAACAGAATGACAAACAGATATTTCTATGATGGACAGATAGAAACAAAAATAATGTCGTACACACATACAAATAAATTCAGAATGTCATCTTAATTATTCTTAGGCATAATTAATCATGGATTAAAGGCTAATCACAAGTTGGGGTTGTTACAGAGAGGAATGAAGAGAAAAGAGAAAACTCTTGTATTCAATTTAATAATCAATGAATAGTATAAACTCCTTTAAATAGGAGAGAAGATAAGTATATACAGAGAATATACTGTATTACACAGATAAGGCATATCTATACAGAGAATATGCTATAGAATATACTATAGTTAACAGAGACGATAAATGTTAAATCCCATAAAATCCATGATTTAATCACCTATTCAAAGCAATTTAGAATAGAGTTATGGTTGATACTCTGAGCTCATTGATGCTGGATACGTTGCACACAGATCAATGAATACATATGTAATTCACACACACACAAACCCAACTTCTTTTGAGTCATTTCATCTTTTACTAACACATCTTTTGAATAGTCTCTCTTTTAATTATTACAAAGAAGGCGATGCCAACGGAGAACTAAAACGGAAGTAAGTTGAAGTAGCTTTTGAAACACAGTATCCAAATAAATCGTAGAAAAATGTTCAAGTTGATCAAGAATCATCGCCAAATAATAGTAGAAGTTCTCACAAGCAACCAAAGCTTGAAAAGTTGGATTGGAGTGTTCTAAGACCTCCAAAAGGTCGAAAGAAATCGCCTATGGACGTAGGCGATTTGCCGAACCACTTAAATACTTGTGTGTTCTTGCTTGTGTGTTTGTGTGTTATTGTTTTCTGACTCATAGGCACAACAAGTAACCCTTTCTTCTGTAAACTAGTCCTGCCTACTGAGAGATTTCATTATCATTTTGCTGTTATAGGCTTTTGGAAGTGGAGTTGACCAAACATATCATGGAACTAAGCTCAAAGATTAGAAGTTTTATAGGTGAATAATTAGTCTATTTGAAAGAGTTAGATATTATGACTTGTATGGTGAAATTTTGTATCTATCTTGTTTATAAGCTATCTTTTATGGACATAAAGATTGCATTTTGATACTTTAAGATGATGTAATTATTAAATTTGGTACTTCAATGAAATTTGTGGGAAATTTTTTTTTTTCTTGATAGTATACAGTTTTGTGTGTTATGAATGAAAATATTTTTATCGTATTAGCAAGATTCAGATTTCTCAATAATGGTGTTGAATGCCAAAGATAAAAAAATAATATATATATATATATATATAATATTGTAAATGACACAACATTTAAACAGAACAATGAATTTTTAATATTCAAAAGTATTTCAGAAAATATGTTGGCACTCTTTATTATAGCATATTTGAATAGCTATGACATGGGGTATTTGATAATGTTGCCAGATTGTTATAAAATCGATTTCATAACATAAACAAATTGCAATGGTTGGATACTTTTAGTTACTTGCAACTATTTCATAGCATTCATGGACTGTTACAATATATTTTTCATAGCATTCATCTATAGCATTTCATGAATGTTATAAAAAAATGATACACTTTTAATAACAAGGGCTAACATAGCATTCCAACAAATGCTATTATTTACTTTTGATAGCATTCACCGCATGCTATAAAAGTTAATATTTGTTGTAGTGCAATGTGTGTGGAGATTGGTCCAAGCTGGATGGATGCAATAGTGATGTCCCTCAGGAATGGCAAGCTGCTAGATGACCGAAAAGAGGCGCACAAGACAAGATTGAGGTTGGCCAAGTTTAGCATAACAGCAGAAGGCCATCTCTACAGAAGGTCCTTCACTGGGTCCCTTTTGAGATGTGTGCATCCCTCCTAGGTTGAAGACTTCTTGTATGAAATACATGAAGGAGTATATGGAAGCCATGCTGGGGGCAGATCACTTACTCATAGGGCCATCACTCAGGCCTTACATACAGAAGGATGCTGAAGCCTATGTCAGAAAATGCGAGAAGTGTCAAAGGTTTGCACCTTTGATACATCAACTAGCGACAGATTTGAACCCTGTATTCAACCCTTAGTCATTTGCCCAG